AGCCAGGGTGTCCCATTCCACCTTGTGGTTGCACTTTGATTATGTTCGATGAGTTTCCCACAGGAATCGGTCCTTATATGCGAATACGGGACAGTGCCACATAGGCACAACCCCCGCATCGCGAGTTTTCACAATTCATTTTATTTTCAAACACACCGACACCACATGTCGGGTTTTGAAGGCTTCACAAACCCATTTCCCAAGTTTTCGACAAACAACGGTGTATGTGGGATATTTGGTATACGCGCTCAGAGAGCACGAATACCGAGGTACCACAAGGGTGGAGCGACAAGGAATCAGGGTAGTACGACCTACGGAAATTAGTGCGACTACTGGGTAGGTCCGTCGGTTTGGCACGCAAACCGAGGCCAAGCAAGTTAAGTGTGTGATTCTAATCATGCAAGTTGCAAACAAAATAATAATGACTTTTCAATTATAGGGGCAATTGATCAAAGGGTGACTTGCCTTGCTCAAGGCCTTCACGGAGCTTCACGAATCTTCGAGATAACCACGATCGACGAAAATCCGCAACCGTAACTATACGCAAACAATAGAAAACCTAAACAAAAGACCAAAAGAAGGATCCTATTTAGACTAATTAATAGTGCCATTAAATAGATCTCAATTTTATAGAAATACTGGAAGTGGAACGGAGTCGATCGGAGCTACGGATCGAGAGATATGAATATTGGAAGTTTATCTGAATTTTCTGGACAAGGAAATGATTTGTCGAATTTTTCTGGAATACGAGAGATGGTTTATTGAATTCGTGGAAAAGAATATTCTTGGAATATTCTTTAATTACTCATTGACATGTGGGGCCTACAAAAGGTGAGAGAGGAGTAAATTGGGAGGGAGCAGATATGGACTTTTAGCTCATGAGAGATGGACACTGACTTGGACGGAGGGAGGAAATATGGACTTTTAGGCCGAGCGTGAGGCGCGGCCCAATGGGTTGAAGGAGGCTCGGCCAAGCCATTGGGCCGGCGCGGGCGCAAGGAGGCGGCCCATTAGGGGCGCGCGGAAGGGAGAGGGGGCGGTCCGGGTGGACCGAACCCACCATGCGAGGTCCCGGGTGGGGCCCGCATGTCGGCGACACGGTTCACGGAGGGATGGGAGCACGCGGGCGGCGTTTAGGGTTTCGGGTGGATGCGGCTCACGATTGGTGCGCCGGGTGGACCGAGGCGCGACGGGCCCACGTGCAGCCGCATGGCGCACCGTGGTCCGTGCGCACGGAGGGGGCTAGCCAGGCTGGCCGGTTTGACTCGGTCTAGCCGAGTTGGCACCGACGTGGCGCCTACGTGGCAGCCACGCGGGCCGGCGAGAGGAGAAAGACGAGACCGACCGGGAGATGGACGGCAGGCGGCGGCGCGCGTCGGCGGAGCGGCCGCGAGGCGAGGCGGGAGGAAGGGAGACCACCGGAGGGAGGGAAAAGGAGACGCAGACTCCATTCCTCGGCTCGGATGTGGCCGGAACTGGACGGAGGCGGCGGATTTCGACGGCGGCCACCGGCGGCGAGCAAAAGGGGGAAAACACGCCGGGAGAGAATGGGGTCAATTCGTGGTGGCGGGAGCATCTCTAGGACTCTGGGAAATTGTTCTCGGGGTCGGATGGGGCGGAGAGACTCTGAGAGAGGCCGGCGACGGCGAGGCGCGGTGTGGGGAAGGGCGGAACGCCGCCGGGGAGGGAGAGGGGTCCGGCGATCAAAGCGGCGGTTCGGGAGTGTTCTACAGTGATCCAGGAGGGTGACAACGAGGAGGATTAGGTGAAGAGCTCACCGATGGCGATGAACGGCGTCGATGGCGAGCAAACGGGAAGCCGGCGAAGGAAAACGGCCGGGCTTCGGGGAGGGCGGCGCTGGGTCTGGAGGATGGTGTTCACGGCAGGCAGCACCGCGTTGGCCGAGCGGCGACGCAAGGCGGCGAGGAAGGGAACACCAGCGACGGAGGAGGCCGCGGCGTTGGGCGAGCGTTCTTGGCCTGAGAAACGGTGCGATGGTGGAGAGGCTAGGAGCCGAACGAGGGAGGGGAGTGCGGGTTTTATAGGTGGAGATGGGGCTTCGAGGGGAAGGAACCAATGAGGGCGGTCAAGGGGAGCTCGGCTGGCGGCCTCGCGGTCAAGTGGCGACAGACGGTCACGGGAGGCAGAGGATGTGACGCTAGCTGAGAGGGGGAAAAGCAGAAAAAGGGGGAGGGGAAAGGAGCTCAGCTCCTTGTCGATTTTGGACGAGGAGAGGGAGGATGGAGCGCGTGGGAGAGAGAGGCGCTGCCTCCGCGTCTTTGGACGCGAGCGCACAGAGCAGCGGGGTCGGGCGGTGACAGGGCACGGGCGGCGCGGGCGCTGACGGCAGCGGCGACCAGGCGGTCGGCCACCACGGCGCGCGCGCGCGGAGCAGCTGGCACGGCCGAATTTCGAACAGCGGCGGCCGGAAATCGGCACCGGTGGGGGAGCTCGACGAGAGAGAGAGAGAATAAGAGAGAGAGAGAGAGAATAGAAGGAACAGAGAGAGCTCTCTCTCTCTCTCGGCCATGGCGCACGCGCGAGCACGCGAGGGGAGGAGCAGCGGGGAAGGTGGGCCGAGGGGAGGAAATCCGGCCCATCCAAAACATGGGGAGGCTAAATAGACTTATACAGAGAATTTGAGTTGGGAGGTTTGGGGCTTGGATTTGAATTGAAATTCGAATTCAAATTGCATGTTTGAACTCAGCTAAATATGAAGGAACCAGGGAAGGGAGATCAAGGTGAGAAATTGATATTTTCGGGATAGATTTGTATTTGGCGGTTCAAGGGATTATTTGAGAGGGATCCGAAGGAAACCACATATTTTCGGAGTTGGGACAATTGTTTGGAAAGGAGTTCGATGGTCAAGGGAGCTCGGCTGGTGTTCACGGGTGGCAGCGGCGGTTTCGTGGGCAGTGCGAAAACGGCGACGGCGTGGATGCGTTGGACGGCGAAGGCGGTGGATCAAGCGGCGGAAATCAAACCGCGGGAGCGCGGGCTGGCGCGGTCAAGGAGAGCGAGTTGGCGCGGTCGGTCAAGCGGCGTAGAGGCAGTGACACCGGCAGTGGTCGGGAAAGGGAAAAGAAGGGTAAAAAAGGGGCTTGGTCCCTTGCCATAATGAGGAGAGGGAGAGTGAGGAGGAGGAGGAGAGGGAGAGCAGCTGCTTCTCCCACTCTTGGACGGGTGCGGCGTGGGGTGGCGGGGGGGCCATGGATGACGTCGGCGATGATGGCGGCGGTCGGTTTGTCATGGAGCGGGGGCAAGGCGGTCGCACGTGGCGTCGGCGGCGCGAGGACTGATGGCGGCGGCGTTCGGCCGGTCGGCCACCTCGCGAGCGAGCGCGCGCGCGACGCGGGGGTGCGGCCGGATTTCGAACGGCGGCGGCGGGAAATCGGCGCCGAGGAGAGGGAGATCGAACGAGAGAGAGAGAAACAGCGAGAGAGAGGAAGAGGACGAGAGAGCGAGAGAACTCTCTCTCTGCTCGGCTCACGCGGATGCATCGCACGTGCGAGAGGAGGGAGGAGGACGGCAGAGGGAGGAAATGGGCTGGGGAGGGGCGTTCGGCCCATAGAACTTGGGGGAGGCAAACTAGACTTTCACAGAGAAAACTGATTTGGATAGAATTGGAGAGATTTAGGGTTTGGATTCGAATTCAAATTTGATATTCGAACTCGAGGGTTTAGGGATGTATCAAGGGAAACTCAAGGAGAAGTCATGGAAAAGATACAAAAGGAATACTTGGGTATTTGTTCTCGGGAATATAAGGTGGAGTCAAGGAAATGATTTGGATGAGAAACGATTCTCTCGAAATCGGGAGAAAGATTTGGCAACGAGTTCAAGGAAGGGAGAGAGTGACTTCCGGAATTGGGATTTGGATCTAAATTTTGATACTTGTACACAAGGGTTCAAGGAGACGAGTAAGGAAACAAAGTGGGAGTTTGATACTTTCGGGAATGGGAACAATTATTTGGGGAGGATTCAAGGGAAGGGATTGACTTTCGGAATTTGATTCCAGAGACTTGAATCGGAAGAGGAATTTTCGAGGTGGAGGATTTTGATTTCGATGAGAGGGAACAACGGGATTAAATTGGGATCCTTGGCACAACTTAGACTCTCACACAAAGAACGAAAATTTTCGCAATTAGGATTTTACCGAGTTAGTTTTTAACGACTCACGAAAAGCGGAGCGTTACATTAGTTAAGATGAAATTCTTTGTCGGAGTTCGCTTACATATATATATTTTTAGAAAATCATGAGCTGCAGTTAGGAGTCCAACGTCTCAAGTTAGCATGCGAGTTTTTTTAAACAGATTTCTTATATGATTCCTTCTGTATTACCAAAAGTGAACGATCTTACAAACCAACTCAAAGACGGATATGTATTTCCAAAAGCAAACGAACTTAAAAACCAACTCATACACGGATGATGAACCAAAATACCGGCAAAAACATCTTCATCTTTAATTTTTATAATAATAGAGATAGAGAAGAGATATAGATTAAAACCAAAACATAAAATTAAAACCGACTCAAACACGGATGACGGACCGTGGAAACATCTTCAATTTTTATAATAGTATATATAATAGACTTGTATATGTTATATTTAAACCTGTATGTTGTGTAATGATATCTCACACAATTACATATCTATGTTATTAATATTTTTTAGAATTTTGTATAGCCATTTAATTACATCACATAGCTAGAAAGAACAAGGTTGCCTTCGCGTTAGTAGTGGACTAAGAGAAAATACCCTCTGTCGCTCACATGTTTTTTGAGCCGCTAAATGATATTTTCTTAATAAAAGAAAAGTTGCTTTCAAAATTTTATATTAATATTTTTAAGTTTAAAATAATTAATACTTAATTAATCATATATTTTCTCCGTCTTCTACTTTACTCCTGTCAAATACACCCTATTGTACAACCATTTATGGGACAAAATGACCTTCCCCGGTATATCGATCATTGATATACTGTTTTTTTTTCACGAACGAGTAAAAAGATTGTACGTCAATAAATTAAAAGAATAGAGTTTTTGTTACACAACACAATCAGCCAGACCGGCTTATGCCAAGGAAGGAAGAAAATAAAGACAAAAACCAAGGAAGAAAAAGAAAAACTCGTACAACGGATAACGCTACTTCAAACAGCGGGAGGGGGCAAAGCCACGCAACACTCCTAACAAGTATCCAAAGTAAGCAACGCCCACTAACGACCACAACGGCCCTCTGAAAGGATGGACTCTAGAATCACTGAGACCGAAGAAAGCGCAGAGTCAAAAACTCTGGAGTTGTGTTCCTGCCAAGAGACCAGAAGGACCAGGGAGTCGAAACTGGCACGGAGGTGATTAGGTAAACATGACCTAGAAGATGGCCACCAGTCTTGAAGCCAGCTGCCACTGAGGGGAGAGAGGGCAATCCAGCCAGGAGGCGACAGCACCCGTAACCAGACCTGACGAGCGAACACGCAGTCGAGTAGGATGTGCTTCGCCGTCTCAAGCTTCTGAGCGCAAAAAGGACAGGCCGAGTGGCTATCGATGCCATATTTCTGGATGAGATCAGTCGTCCAACGGCACTGCTGAAATATACAACATTGATATACTGTAATTAATGATGTCTGATCGACCGTCTTATGTCCAATGATCACAAGCTAGCTGCTCGCCCCAGTATATACAATTATCGATCTCATCTCATGCATCATTGTTCCAGTAGATCTCAATCGATATATAAATCAACATAGCAAGGCAGCACGCCTGGCCTATCTAGGCTAGCTGTGCTGGGCGCTCACTAAGGTGGTGTTTGGATCAGGAACTTAACTTTAGTCCCTGTCTTTAGACACTAATTTAGAGTATTAAATATAGACTACTTACAAAACTAATTATATAAATAAAAGCTAATTCGAGACAAAATTTTTAAGCATAATTAATCCATAATTAGAGAATGTTTACTGTAACATCACATAGGCTAATCATGGATTAATTAGGCTCAATAGATTCGTCTCGCAAATTAGTCTAAGATTATGGATGGGTTTTATTAATAGTCTATGTTTAATATTTATAATTAGTATCCAAACATCCGATGTGATAGGGAATTAAAAGTTTTAGTCCCATCTATCTAAACAGGGCCTAAACACTACTATACCACTCATTGAGATATGGATAAATATCAGACATTCATATTTTATCCTACAGTAGTTTCAGATTTGTAGTATCTATCCCCGCAAAAAAAAAGATTTGTAGTATCTATAGAGTTTTGCATTATATATTTTCTCTATGAAAAACTATGTAGTGCGTCACATAGTAGATAGAGAGATATGCATATGCCATCGATTGATGCGCACATGTATATACTCCCTTCATTATAGAATAAATAAACTTAGTATGAAATGTGATATTCTGATTTACCAATCTGGACATATCGTAGTAATAATTAAGATGTATCACATTTCATCTTATAATTTATTTATTTTAGTACGAAGTGAGCATGTCATAGGGAGAGATCGGTGACTGACAAATTAAAATATCACACGTACATATGGTGATGGCGATCGACTCCGCCTATTCACAAATTGAGAGGGGAAACTGTGGATGTATGAAATTCGAATATACTAGTATATGATGTACTACCACTGGAGTAGTTAATAAAATGCACGCTCCAATATATAATTAATCCATTGAATTGATTAATTAAACGAACATTAATTACCGTAGATGTGTGGATCAATTATATATTAGTAATGTCGTAGCTGATGTTCTTCTTCCAGCTTGATGGAGGAAGAGGAACAGGCGCTGCAGCAAGAGGAATATTTGCCTTTGGCCGCCGGAGAGGAGGAAGAAGAAGAAGCAGCTGGCGAGGCGGCAGCAGAGACGAGCAAATCGAGGAAGGCGCCAACGATGAGGCCGTGTGTGCTCTTGACGTTGGCCCGGAGGTACCACCCCAGCATTTCCTCCAGCCACCGCCAGTCATCAGCGCCGCCGCCGCCGCCGCCGCTAGTCACCATCGCCTCCATCGACTCCCGGAAGTCGCGGTACGGGTTCGACGACTCGATGGTCATCGCCGTCGCCCCGCCGAACGCCTCCACCTTCTTCTTCGTCTTATTGGCCTTGGCCTTGTTGAGCTTGAGGTCGGCGGCGGCGGCCGGGGACGCGTCAGGGTCAAAAAAGAGGCGGTCGGAGCGCAGCGCGCGGGTGACGGCGTCGGCGGAGGCCGAGGCGTCGGACGCCGTCCTGCTCCTGCAGCAGCTGCAGGTGGAGCTGTGGCTGTCTCGAGAGGCGAAGGAGAAGCCCGCGGATAAGTAAGCGGAGTTCATGGTCTTCATCATCGTCTGCTGCTGCTGCCTGAAGGAGAGTGTCCTCGGCTGCTTGCAGGATGGCCATTGCCACGCCGCCGCCGCCGCCGACGACGACGACGACATATTGGAGCACGACGAATACGAATACGGCAAGCCACTAGTAGTAGTGGATGTGTCCCTGCCGCTGCTGCTGCTGCTGCTGAAGAGAAGAGAGGTGATACCAAGCTTGGTCTTCTTCTTCTTCCTATTCACCATGGCTAGCTAATGTATTGATATGGATGGGATCAGACAAGATAGAATTCAGATGGACCGTCCGGAGTTCATGAGAAGCTAATAAGTTAGCTCGTGTGAGACCGATCGATGTAGCTAGAGAGAGAAAGAGGATTTTAGGCACATATATGTGCAGGTAGTAGGAGTGCACTACCATATATATGCATATATATTTAACTAAGCACACTATAGACATATGATGTGTCGGGGACATATCCTATACACACCAACTAGCAAATGTCATAGAAAATTCTTAAAAAATTAGACGCATGCTTCCAATAGTATTATATCTATGTGTGAAATCTTATTTTCAAATTCATTATATTTTAGCCGTAACAAAATTCTGACAGATATTTACCCTTAAAACTGTCAGATTTTTCTCTTTTTTTAGCCTAAAATATAATGAATTTTAATATAAGACTTTGCATATATGTGTAATACTATTAGAAATAAATATCTATTATTTTAAGAACTTTTCGTAACATTTGTTAGTTGATGTACACGAGAAATTTATGTGCATAGGATTTGTTCCCTGGTATATCTATGTACAACTTTTATTTTTTTTGAAGGGATTGTGTACAACTAATTAAGCACTAGAGTAGTGCACTTAGAGCAAGGTTAATAGTATAGCCAACTACTAGCTTCAATTCATCTATAGCCAATCTAATAGCCAATTTATACAATAGTTGCTTACTATACTATTAGTATATGGTCCCACCTGTCATACACATGTTGCGTCTTAGAGTCCGTGCTACAACTGGCTACAGACCTGTAGCCCACTGCTCTTCTCTCTCATCTTTTATCTCATTAAAATATATTTGTAGCTGGTTAATAGTCTGCTATTGTACCTACTCTTAGGACAGGCCGCCCATCCTCGATCCTGCTAGTACTACAAAGTAATTTGATCAGATTAAAGATAGGTAAATGGTAAAATTTTATGGTTCTTAAAAAAATATATCTCAAGATACCTAAATTTACACTATTGATATCTTGATATATCTAGTGCCTAGAGATTTTAAATTTATATAAAAAATATGTTACCTTCTTATGCCTTCTCAAATATGGTTAAATTTTCATAGATGAATTGAATGAGATTTGTGCCCTACCCCTGTGTGCATATTAAATCCAATCAATATATATGCATGCAATGACTCGATGGATTAATTATATCGATCGATCTTCACATGCTTGTGTTTAATTTGTGTGGAAGTGTTAGTCTGCCGCTTAAGTCCAAAATGGAATAATAAAGGATAGGTGACTGACTCCAGTCCAGTACACATATGGAGTATGTGCAAGTGTGCACATACTTGCTACAACTAATTAATCACTTGGAGACAAAGACAACACAAAAGAGGCTCCGATCCAGTCCAGCTCAATTAATCGACTCCACAACTAACTCCTCTGTAACAAGAATATACTAAGATTGATGCACACACATTAATCTGCCTATATAAAATATATCCATCTGTCATGTCCCTCAACCTGCCCTGCAAAATTAAGCAAACTTCAATTTTCACATGAACTTGCTTAATTACATGCATGATATATATCAGCTGGGTGCTCTGCTTCCAGTACTGCACTTGTATGCTGCTGCTAGTGCAATGCATGCAGATTCCTTTCCTTTCTCACCTGGCTGAACCTGCCAATGCCATGCTGCACTCCCAATTAGTATAATATAATCACAAACTTTATGTCACGTACGATTAATAAATAATCCAACCCTTCGCCTCTGATGTACAAAGCAGTTTCAGGCAGGCTGGAGTATTCTTTTTTGTCTTCTTTATGGTTTTCAGAGCACTTCCACACTAGTACTACAAAAATAAAACAAATTAGCAAGGGGACAACATCCTGAATCTTACAGAAATTTAAAAAAAAAACATTATAACGTACACGTACAGCTCACGAAGGATAATTCCTCAGATCATTACAGTTTTTTTTGGTACTGTTTTCCAGCACATCTGTGCATCTTCGGTAATCGGTACTACTACTAAACATGGCATTCAAATCCACAGTACATTTGACTAAACCACATGCGGATTTGAATGAATACCGGGAGCAATTGAATGGAGTGCATATAATTATCTGAATGACTTGCCAATCCAATATATATGCAGCAGAAAATTTCAACCCAAGCAGTAAATGCGGATGGAATTTCCCCTTCAATATCAATTAGACATGAACAGGTAGAGAAATAAACTGACAAAATGAATGTACTACTCCCTCCATCCCAAAATATAACAAGTTTTATCAATGTATCTAGACAAAAAAAGCATGATTAGAAACATATATAGCTAAAAGTTACTATATTTTGAGACAGGAATAATATATTATATTAACTAACAAATTGATTGTATTATTATTGCAGTGACTTCTAAATTATACTATTATTGAAGTTACCAGACACCAAGAGTAGGACAAAATTTATTAGTTGATATATTCATGAAATAAATGAATGGTGGTGAATTGTAGCAATTTTTGCCTGCTTGTTGCAAATATTGTCCCTGTGTTGCCATTTTGGTGCCTATAGCTATTTGCCTTGGTTTGTATGCAAATGGTTGTCCATTATAGTTTTCCACAACTTTTTTTTCTATCTAAGATTATGTAATACTATATGCCATCATATTAGTTTAGTCACGGGCATGTAGAACTCAATTGCACAAAATATATAAATAAATAATCTTAATATAGGTGTGACCACTTGCCACAAACCGTACATGCATACTAGCACAGAGTGCGCAAAGTGCTACAATGTACCAAGAGGGAAAAAAATGTGATACAATGTGTAGATACCAACGAGACAAACCCCTTCATTTCTTATGAACTTGTAAACAAACCAAATTGGTTATATAAAATTATATGGAGTAGCATTTATGCAAGTGTGGCTAAACATGAGACTCAATTTATTGCACTCACCTCTAGAGCTTCGTTTCCATCTTTCTTTCATCCTTTAGCACATTGAACACTTCCTCATCTTATGGCATGAAGATTAAGGATCCACAGGGAACCTGTGACATGCATATTTATTGAGTTTCTCTAGCTTGTAAGTTGGTGAGACTTGAGTATAATCTCTAAGGAATTATGGCTGGCTGCAGCCACCACCACATTTGAATTCCTTTTTTTCAGTCGTTCCTCCTACAGATTGTGCATCGTAGCTAAGGTGGTTGCAAAAACTGCTGGCGCCAACTGTATCCTAGTTACTACACGTGCAATGCAGCCGAACCACCAGTATATATATGTATTTGGTAAAATGAAGATGTATAGAATATATATAGATAGTATTTGGAGAAATACTACTATATCCTGAAATACCACCTTATAGATGCTCCTTAATTATCTATCTTTGACGATGTGATCATCTCGGATTTCTTAATCGTTCCAAAGCCTGATGCAGCTGCCGACATCTTCACTGTGGGCTGTGGCACGCATGATATCCTGCAGATCCTGTCGCCTGTATCTACAGTACGTACTATTCGGGAACAGCAAGCATTGCTAGGTGCAGTTCAATCCTGGAGATCATATCTCGCACACTGCTGCGTACGAGTATAATTTAGGACTCTAGCTACACGGAGCAAATATGTGGAGTATATATGAATGCTCCAAATGAACTTGCGTAAAAATCTCAAGGTAACTAGCTAGGCAATAATAGTTAATTCAGAGAAGGAAAACTGTTTCATAAGGACCACACATACTGCACAACAATTAATATTATGCGTCACTTGCTAAGATCCACTGTTGTGGAACATGCAGCTAGCTAGCTTAGCAATAGCATTGCTCAATTGCAGAATTGTTTCTTGCTATACTGCCTGCTCATCACATATAATTGGTAAGAGCTAGCTAGCACCAGACATATTGTAGTTACTGTACATGTTTGTGTTATCCTTCCAAGGACAAGAAACAGTATGCACTTCACAAAGGTTGTACTACCCTACGCTTCATCTCCAATATAATGGACCTAGCTACCTAGCTCTGCTCTGGGTTTGTGGCTTAATTTCAAGAGGGCAAATGACCATATACAGTGCAGGCGCAATAATGCAACGCAATGCATTATGCATGGCTCCACAATGCACATGTCCTTGACAGTACTCTTCACTCATGCATGCCCAACTGCCGATCGATGCCCCAAAACCTGACCCAACTTGCTGTAGCTAACCAATCTCCATTCAAAATTTGTACCAGAAAAAGTTGGAGATCAGATGTTGTCTGTGACTAGACAGTTTCAGTAATAGATTAGCTGTCTGCATTCCAAGAGTTCATAGCCACTGATTCCATGGTTGGCCACTCCAGATCAAACAAACGCAGCTACTACATAATAAGCAGGGCATGCAGATTAAGCTAGAAATTTGCAGCAGTGTTACGTTCATGCCTGTATTATAATTGTCTGCTCAATCCTTTCTACCATTTGATTTGTATGTATGTGAGGATGGGGAAGAAAGGGAAAACGATAAAAGCTGCAAATATATAGACATACCGAGAATCCTAGTACTGTGTTTGTGTGGTATGTGTAACAGCCAATCCACTGCAGTCTTGGATTCTGTCTTCAGAGATGGACAAAATAGATGAGCCGGCCGGTTCAACCGCTAGCTCTAGGATATATACAAGGCTATCTGAATATTCAAGCGAGTAGCGTTTGCATATATCTGATCCAACATTAAATCGAAACAGATGCGCCAAAACTGTTTTTTTTTCCCTAACAGCCTATTTTAAAAAACTCTTTTTCCTAACAGTTGAATAGAACCAAATAGAAGCTCACTCCAAGAGAATGCAAATGATTGAAACCAAAAGGGGAGAGTGTGTGAGAGAGAAAATGATGAACCAGAAAATATTCGTTCAGCTCTCCAGCTAGCAGACAACAGGAATAAACAGGATTCCTGATTTCCTCATGATTCCCTGTTATTTAATACATGTTGTATTGTTAAACTTAAACTAATGGTTTCGTCTACAGAGGTTGTTTCCGGACACAGTTGTTAGTTGTTTATAGTATGCACTATAAAAAAATATTTTTTTACAGACACCCTAACTTTTAAAACAAGCTAAAATGTGACATTTATGTAAAAAGATTTGAGGTGTCCAGTAAAAACCCGTTTGCGAATGAAAATAAGGTTATTTTCAAACGCGGACAAATTTTTCCACTCAACCGGCCGAACATCCTTCTATCTCTTTTATTTTCTTCTCTTCTTTAT